AATGGGTGGGGACTGGGCAGGTGGGTTACTGAAGGCTAAGTCACAAGGCTGTTACCTTGGAGGTAAGACAACAAGGAAGGAGTCGATGCATGGAAAGCATGTTCTCTGCCTGCGCCCGTGAGGGCAAGGCAAGAACTCTTCCCAGAACTGTTCCATACAGTCAGTTGGCAGGGACCTGGGAGGAGAGCGCAGCACGGCCTGCACAGAGCTCACGCGTCCCAGCTGAGGGGCACTCAGGACCACAGACAGCGCTGCCCCTCCCGGGCTTGAGCTCCCTCTTCACCTTAGACCTGCCAGGCTCCGGTGAGGAGGACATTCTCACTGCTCAGAGTTCATCTGGTGTTGGTTGGCAATTACCCCCTCCTGAGCAGGGCCTCTTCCATTCCAGTGAAATCTGATCTTATCACCCCCACCCCCAGTTTGCAGGATAAAGTCCAAGGGCCGCAGCAAGGCAGCCAAAAGCCTTCTCTCTCCAATCTGACGGTCCCAGAGCTGCCCCCACGAGGCATGTCCACACACCCCACAAACAGCACTATCTGCCTCATGACCCCTCCTGGCCTCTGCCCTCCACGGTTCTGGCCACTAGAACCACGTACTCCCTCCTCTGACCCACCAGGGCCCCCTCCACAAGGCCAGCACCCACGATGCATTTTCAGTTCACATACAGGTGGGCACAACTCCAACATGCCCAGCACCATGCACAGCAATGGGAATACCAGGTGAGTTTGAAGCAGACACAATCCCTGACCCCATGTAGCTGACCCCAAATGGAAATAGAAAGTAACAACTGATGAAGAATATGAACTTACAAACAGAAGGAAAGAAAAGCACAACGTTATGAGGGTCTAGGACGGGGGATGTATCCTTAGATAGCCAGGGTGACATTCCTGAGGAAGGGGCACCTGAGCTGAGAACTGGCAGTGGGGATGGAATTCTGAGCACCAGAACAGCTTGTGCAAAAGCACTGAGGTTCAGGAGCTGACAGCTGGAGAGCTGCTGTGGAAGGGCCAGCCTGGCCACGAAGGGGCAGTGGTGAGAAGATGAGGCTGGGGAGGCAGGCAGCAGCCAAATCACACAGGCCTCATGGGCCACGTTGAACACGACCAGATTTTGTTGTCACCACAACAAGAAGGCAGAGAATGGTTTTCAGCCAAGGATGTACAGGGATCAGGTCTGTGTTTATGCTAACTCATCCCTCCCGGAGGTGTGAGGGCAGCTCCTGGTTTCCCCAATAGCCTCCCCTCCAGGCTGGGTGATCACGTGGATGGCGCTCGGCAGTGAGCCACAGCACAAGAAGCTGTCCTTGTTTTCACACGGGGGGCCCAGGGACTACTGGTGGGACACTTAACATCCTTCCTGCTAAGGGGCAGAAGGACCATCCCCACCCCTGCCTGGCCACACCTGACAGGTGGCCCTGGTGCCACAGTGAGAAGGTTCTTGCTGCTCCCTTGAGGAAGTGGCTAGAGCAGCCAGGGGACCCCTGAACACGAGGACAGGGGCCTTTTCACCACCCCAGCCCAACTCACCCACGCGCAGGTTCCCAGGGGCACCTTTACCCAGGTCTATTCACTGACAACTGAATCTCAGGCAGGACGGCACTGCCACCAGACTGCTGACTCCTCACGAACCAGGGCACAGAACCACCAAATCATCCCAGTGATTCTCCACGCCAAACCCTTTTGAGCCCAGTATTAAAAAAGAGGAGGGGAAGGAAAACTGAAGGAAGAAAACAGCAGAATCACAGAACCCAAGAATGGACTAATAGTTACCAACGGGAAAGGGACTGGGGAGGATGGGAGGGAAGGGAGGGATAAGGGCAGGGAAAAAGAAAGGGGGCATTACGATTAGCATGTATAGTGTGGGGGGCACGGGGAGGGCTGTGCAACACAGAGAAGACAAGTAGTGATTTTACAGCGTCTTACTACGCAGATGGACAGTGACTGTGAAGGTGTATGTGGGGGGAACTTGGTGAAGGGGGGAACCTAGTAAACATAATGTTCTTTCTGTAATTGTAGATTAATGATACCAAAATAAAAAAAATTAAAACCATATGTAAAAAGTTAAAGATTTAAAGAAATGAATTTTATCATAATCTCAACACTGAAAAGATCATTAGGGATCATCTGCCTAATTCACTCATTTTACAGATGAGTAATTTGCAGACCATAGAGTTTAAGTGAATTCCTCAAGCCAACCTGGTACTTTTGTTACAAACTCTGAACTCTTGTCAATTAGTACTTAATGTGATTTTAAATGATCTAATTGTATTAAATGAACCCCTATCCCTCAAAAAAAAAAAGAGGAGGGGAGGGGAGGGCAGGGAAGGAGAGAAAAAGGAAAGGAGAAGAAAGGAAGGAGGTAGGGAGGGAGGGCCGGAGGGAGGTCTGTCTTAAGGGGTGGTTTCTATGGCAACCAGCTTTGGGGATCTACAGTAAGCCCCAAGCGCATCCCTCTGATCTGGTCCACAAGGGCAGCCAGGAAAAAGCATACCCTTCCTAGCTCTGAGAATTCCTGTCCCTCCTGGGGCTTGAGGCTTAATGGAAGCAACCCATGGGCAGAATGCTTCAGAGCTGTCAGGAACATCTCAGAAACTCATCTTTCTCCACCTACACAGCCCCAAACTACTTCCCGAGCGACCTGAGTATCACCTCCGAGAAGGCCCTTGGAGCTGAGCCCCTGCTGGGGTAAATCATCTTACTCTGTTTCCTTACAACAAGATGAGGACCGACCGGCTTTGCAAACCCCAGCCCAGGGCTCTGCTGCCCTGCCTCTTAAACAGACTTCCCTGTATGGATCCTGTGTTCCCTTTCCACCCAAGCCAACGTCTCCTTGGTGATGTCTTGAATAAATATGAAAACAGGAATCTGAAAACAACAGACGTGATCAAGGTCAAGTGTCAGTCTATCTGGTCTGGCCCTGAACTTGAATCCCTCGTAGGCTTTGACGGAGTAGGGTGACTAGGTCAGCACCGACGGCACCAGGCCTGGCAGCAGGAGCAAGGCCAGTGTGCAGCTGAGCAGGCCTCTGTCCCGGGCCTCAACAGCATCTCCCTGTCCCTTCTGTCCAGCCCCACACCATCTCTCCTCTTCCTGGGGACTCTGGAAAGCACAGCTTGTCACCCTTTCCCCAAAGGATTGTTCTCTTCACAAAGGAGGAAACATCCTGGTCTTATCAGATATTCGGCTTCATGCTGAAGCCCAGAGCTCAGTGAAAACTTATCCCAGAAACACCGGGGCTGGAAGGTTAGCCCACGGTTACCTCAGTCATTTCAGGGCTGGCTGGGTGTGTGTGCCCTGAGTGGGCCAAACTCCAGGGACTCATCCAAGACCTCCAGGGCAATATGCCCGATAGCTGAAACCCGTGAGGCCCATGTCCCCACATCCCCCCGACACGCTCTCGCTCTGTAACCTTTTCACAGGGGACCCAGCTCCCCTTTACTGGTCAGTCATCACCAGCCCTGGGTTGTGCGCTGTGTGTCTGTGGGGATGGGGATGGGAGGCCCCTGGGGGTTGTTCCCTAACTCCCAGAGCACCAGGGCTGGCTGGGGGCTATAGTCCTTTACCTAGGAGGACAGCAGAGTGACCAAGTATTAGTGATGACCGTACCAGGAGGCCCAATAGCAGGAGCACTGCAAGCAGTCAGCAGACATTAGGCATCCCACCATGCATGAACACTGACTTCTCACAGCAACCTGCCTGCCCTACATGGCAGAACTGCTGTTGCCCACTTTGCAGAAGAGCAAACTAAGGCTAGGAAGGTCGTGTGGCCAACTCAGCATGGACCTCCTGCTAAGCGTTTGCTGGGGCCCAGCACGGTGTGAAGCACTTTACATGCATCACGCCATTTACTCCTAACACTGTGTGAGGTTTTCTTGACACTGACACCATTTTACAAATGAGAAAACTGAGGCTTGGCAAGGTCATGCAGGAGCCTGAATATGCCTTTCCCATGGCCTCCAGCTCTGTGCAGGCAAGAGGGACTTGAGGCCATAGGCAAGGCCCTGGAGGACACAATATGGGGAGAGGCAGGAGGGAAGGGGGGCATCAGCAAGGCCACAAGCAGGACACAACTGCTTCTGGAGCCACTTGCAATGGGAAGTGGGAAAATCTGTGGTAGAGCCAGGCAAAGAGGTGGGGAGAGCCATGGGGAAGTGGGGGAGGCCAAGGTCATTGACCCCGAGCACATGGGAGAAAGAAAACACTGCCCACAGGAGGGCTACTGTGCAGCCAGGCAGGGAGGGAGAGTCCCCTTTGTCCTGATAAAGAAAGCCAGGATATCAAATCTCCAATTATCAAACTGAAAAGTGCTGGCTTAAGCATCCCCTCCCACCAGGGAGGGCCTCTATTTGGGCTGCATTTTCACTGATAATATGACTTTGTTTGTCATGACCCTCAAGCTGCTTTCTAGAGGAATGAATCACGCTCTGTCTAGAAGAAAGAAAACACAGGACAAGTCAGTGGGGTCAAAGGCAGCACCTCCAGCCCCCATGTGGCAGGCAGGTCACAGAGGGGTCAGGACCCAGGAGGCTGCTGGGGAAATGGGATGGGGAGGAGGAAAACAGCCAGGAAGACTCAGTCTGTGCTCAGAGACAAGCACACAGGGGTCAAAGCAATAAGCCCAGAGAGGGGCTTCTCCACCAGGCCAGGCCCTCAAGGGTCCCTTTCTCCAAGCGTGGCCAGAGGGTCATGTGCCAACCCAGAACCGCTGGCCGTGGCTGTGCATCCGTGCTGAGGATGCGGAGGCCACACCTAGACTTAAGAGAGCTCTGATCAGTAAATCATGTCTATACAAGTAGAGGGGTAGAGGGGCAGCCAACCAGGCCTGGGTCATCCCAATTCACACCCAAGGAGACAGAGGCTCTGGCAGGGAAAGGTCTGACCACAGCCCATGTCTCGACAGTGGCAGAGCCACTCCAGTGGCCTACACAGCAAGACAGCTGCTACAGCTTCAGAAATGCCAAGCATTGTTCCTAGGCCTTTCCTCTCACCACCCTCGCTCACCTGGAACCTGTGCACTAGCTCCAGGGACTGGCTGTCGTTCTGGTCGGCTTCTAGGATAACATCAGTCAGCTTGTGGATGATGACGTCCAGGGGGCCCTGCTCCTCGATTGGCCGGTTAAGGTTCAGCTGCGAGGCGGGACAGAGAAAAACAACAGCTTTAGCACCTGAGCCCACTGCCCCACCTTCGTCCCACGCTGCATGTGCCTGCAGCACTGACATGGGCAGGAAGCCGGCCCTCATGGGAAACACGGATGGGACAAAGGGGACAAACCTGCCAAGACCCCAGACCTCCTCCAGGGCAGGCCCTGTGCTTACACTTCTGTCCACCAGCCCCATGCTACCCAGTACACAGAAGACACACATGGAGTCGAGGTGACAACGTACCTACAGGTCAAGCGAGCATCACTGTGAAACTGCTTCACAGAGAAAGCATTTACTGGACACGTCCCACCTCCCCAGCAACAGAGATTGTTCAGGTAAGGAAAGGAGGGGGAAATCCAGTAACTGAAGTCACGCAGCCAGACCTGAAGGGAGAGCCAAGTGCCTACTCTCTCCACAAAACTACACAGCCTCGGCCAAGCTGTGATCGTCATGAATCTGAGAGCTGATGCTTTGACCGACAAGCTGCTTGCTTTTCACACTGAAATCAGGGCTCTCATGATCCACTGAAGGAGGGCGGGGCTGCCTGTAATCCGCTCACGCTGCTCCACTAGGGGACGTGTTTATTTTTTCAAGAGCACAGGATTAGGAAGACTGGGTCCCCAGAGAGCCAGAGCCGCTGGCTGCCAGTCGGCATCACCTGACTCTGAGACAGGAGCACCTGCCAAAAGCCAGGGCAGCCGGACACTACACTTCCTGACCTGCCAGGTGTCTGCCGCCCAGCACGCAGCCACCGCCACCTGCAAGGACTGTCCCTTGGAGGCAGCGGCGCCAGCCTAGCACCTGGCTGACCCCCCTGGATGGCTTCAGTAGAGGGCAGAGAAGGACATCAGTCCCACCCCTACACTCATCCCCACACAAGTGGGGTTCCCTCTGGGATTTGCTGTTTCAAAGTCATTAGTAAAGAAATCACAATGACAGCTAAATCTGACTGGTCTAATTCAGTATCATGCTAAAACCTTAAATGCATTTGTTTCATTTTATTTTCCTACCACAGGATGAGAAGCGATTTCACAAATGAGGGTGGAGAACACAGACTTTGAAAGCTGCCTAGGAACTCAAAGCGAGAAAGCGGGAGAGCTTAGATGCAAAACGCAATCTGAAGCTGCTTGTCACTCAGTCCCTGCCACCCCAATCCCCATTCAATCACCACATCCATCGGGCTGCCTTGTCCTCTGGCTTCTGGCTGAGTCTGGCCAATTGGAGGCACCAGGAGAAGATGGGAGAGAGAAGCCTGGGAGCCTGGTCCTACTGTCCTACAATATCCTGGCAGCAGCTGGAGTTCCGATGGAGGACAGCTCCTCGGCTGAGACCACGGCTATCTCTGGGGCTCTGGCACCAACTCCCTGCCCCTCGTTCCCTTGGGCTTGGGGTGGTGACAGCCCACCACTCTTGGGGTGCTTCAGCACATCTTGTTGTCCCCTGTGACCCTGCCCACACCTGTCATCATCCCCTATTTAAACTCTTTTCCAGGTAAACCTCCGGAATGTGCCAGCCCTTTCCTACTGATGTCCTTAACTCTTCTTTCTCATTGTCTGCCAGGAAAGATGTTAAAGGATTTACCCTATTTTTTTTTTTTTTAAAGAAAATAATCCATGGACCTTACAATGAGAAAGTACTGAAGACGACTTTCTGTCCCAGGGGTGACTAACCTGTGTGCAGAACAAAACAACACAAAAATCAGACCAGCTGAGCAGCCAACCTGTCTGGGGCTCCTGGATAGGGAAAAGAGGCGGCACTTGGCTTCACAGCAGCCCAGGAGCTGGGGTGACACGCCAGTCCTCCCTTAACAGATGGAGCACCAGTGCCCAGGAAAGACAATGACTGCCAAGGCCACACAGCTGGGAGGTGTCTTAGCTGGGTCTGGACAGAAACCAGACAGCAACACCCGTGGGCTCAGCCTGTAGCCAAGGGGCAGGGTACCTGGGCCTGTGTACCAGCCCAGCTCATCACCCCCAAGGCCTCAGTTTCCTCTTTGATAGGCACTGGAAACTATAAAGGCCCTTCTGGTTCTGTTTACAGATTCAGGATTATATTCCCATCCAAGCCTATTTCCCAGAAAAAGCAAACTTTGAAGGAAGGTAGAGAAGCCAGCAGGAAGTGGTAATAAGCAAAGAATAGCAAATTCTCAGAAGGTGCCTCACATGCATGCCCATGTTTGCTATAACCCATGGCTCCACTGTGGCAGGTACCCCACACAAGAGGTCAATATTTTCAGACCGAGACAGCTACCAACAGAAGAGAATTCGGTCACATGAGTGATGCTGGGCAGTGTGCCCTGGAGCCTGTCAGAAACCCCATCCCCACCAGCATGCTCATCTCCAAAGGGAACCTTCCTGTGCAGCAGGAAGAGACAGTCATGGGGTCCCAGTGGGTTTGGGGAAAGAGGTGGGCAGAGAAGATGCCCGTGGCTTATCCAGGCCTGGCATCAGCCTGAGGCCTGTAGACCTGACAACCATGGGCTGTTTGGAAAATCAGCTCTCCGCATTCCCGGCTGCTCCACTGAAGGTAAACAGCTGAGTTCTGGAAGCTGGCCACCTTCCTTTGTGTATTTTCCAAGCATTTTTATGCCAGTTAAAATCCTTTCACAAGAACAGCAACTTGGGATGCACATCAAGCCTGGCCTGGTCCCGGCTCGGCTGCCTCTCGTTGCCGCATCTTTGCTGAGGCCTGAGTGGAGCTGTCGGTGGCTCTAAAAGGCTCCCCAGCAGAGCCTCTCCTCCGGGGGCAATCACTCTGAGGGGTCTATGCCCCTGCACATGCCTCAAGGGGACTTCAGTCTCTCTGGGCTGGCTGGGAAGGAGGACGCAGGCCCCCTGGGGCTGCCCCCTCAGGACGGGCGCTCAGGCAGGCTCCCGAGAATCCAAGGCACTACAGAGGAGAGGACCCTCAGGGCAGGTGGTCCCCGGTGGTGGATGCTGCTGAGGAGTGGACAGGGGTGGGGAGATACCTCAGAGGCTTCATTTCCCAGATGGGGTGGGGAGTGAGGCCTGGACAGGACTGAACTCACTTCAATTATGACGTTTGTTTTTCTGACTATACTTTGTCCCCAGAAAAGGGACTTGTTCTCTTCCGCAGAAGGCCAGTAACAAGGTTATCTCAATGAAAGGACCACCCACTGGAGCTAGAGGAGGTCCGCGGGTGCCGCGCTTCCCAGTCACACCATACTGCGTGGCCAACAGTGGGTGCTGTGCTGTGCAGTGCTCAGAGTTCAGAATTCAGAGGAAACAAGGGCCCACTGTTTCCCACGGTGACCAAGGCAGGAGGCTGACTAGAGGTGGGGGGAGGGCTGCGAGAAGATGGGATGAAGGCCTGCAAAGCACAATAGGCCAAAAGTCACCTTGACTTCTGAAACAAGCAACCCACGCAAGCCCAGCCCTGCATCCGAGGTGGCTAGGCTGCCCTGCACTGCCGCCCGCAGTGCCTTGTCAAGGGATGAGCACAGCAGACATCTGCATACCCAGCGCAGCTGCCACTGGCTGCGAAAGGCCTTTAACTGCTCTGTGCCTCAGTTTCCCCACTCACGAAACAAAGATACTATTAAGTATTCCTGACACATCACGGGGCTGTTTTGGTGGATTATAACATCCCATTTATGGCTGTGGCATGTGGTGGATGTTCAGCAGGATATTATCACCACTCCATGCTCAGAACAACTTCCTGGTTCTGCTTGCTCCCTCATTAATCTGACACGCATTTTCTGGGCACCCTGTGTACCAGGCTTGGGCAGCCCCTGCACTCTCCTCTCAGGGCTGTCAGTAGTAAGAGCATCTCGATTCACTCTGGAAGCAGACCCAGGTGATGCAGCCATATGCTCCTGCACCTGAGGAGCCTTCTCCTAGAATGTCCCCCCAGCCCTCACATCCCCTTGACCACAGTGAGTTCTTGTTCATTTTCCAAATCCCAGTTCAGAAGTTCAATCCTTTTCCAGGCTTCTCAACTTACCCAAACAGGAAAGAATGAATGGCTCCCTGGACTGACCCATATCCCCATGACGCTAACAGGATTACACCATAACTTCCAATGACAAGGTTGTTCCTTTAACCCTGACTCCTCCACAAGACCCTGAGATCCCCAAAGACCAGTGCTGGGGCCTGGCATCCCCAGGACCTGGAACAGTGGCCTGAGCTAACAGCTGGTCACTCTGCATTACGTGCTACACGGACGTTTTAAAGAACAAAGTGAAAATGCAGATCAACTTAAAGGGGCGTTCCCTTGAGCAGGGTGACTCTTCCTGTTAAGGAGTCACAAACGGCCTCCCAGAGGAGGAGGCGGTGTCTAGGTCAGGGCATGTCAATGGGAGAGGGAAGTACGGGGCCTCCAGAGATGGGGGGCGGAGAGGAAGTGGGGGCAGCTGCTGGGGTGCAGAACTCCTCAGCGTTAACACATCTCCTGGAATTTGTCAACTCCAAATGCCTCAGATGCCTCCAGACAACCACCTCTGCAGAAAGAGCTCCTACGGCACTGACCCCTGAATGGCATCTTGGGAGGGACAGCCCATGGCCGCCCCTGTCTTGGCCTCTTCTGCAGGCTGGAAGCAGAGGATCTTGAAGGAAGACTGAGGCCTCAGAGGATCAGGTACCTCCCATGACCACAACTGTGTTATGGTGGGAACAACAAAGAGATCTTTAGAGTGTTAAAATTTGGGGGCCATAAGCTAGAGCAGTTAGCATCCCCTGTCTAACACAGTCCCCCAGAGGGGAGAACATGTATGGGGGCAGCGGAGGGAGGTAAGGGTACCCCAAGATGAGATCAAAGGCAGAGAGCTCCAGCACTCCACGTGTTCTCTAGGCTGTGCTTCCAGCTCTCCTTTCTCCCAAACTTCCACGCATGCTTCCCTGACAGGGCTGATAATTGGCTATATGTGAAAGAAACGTAAAACCATCCCTGGGGCTCATTAGGGAGGCAGAGGTTTTGGAAAAACTGGCTCCCAGCCCATGCTGGGGGCTGCTCATCCTCTTTGGATG